GGTGGATCGTCAGCTTGCCGAATCCCCAGACAAAACGGCCAGAAATTCAGACACGAGTTCGTAGGTGGTCTGTGCCTGCGTGCGTGCGTGCAAATGTAGGGGCAAGCGTGCGTGCAAGTGTTCGTGCAAGACTGCGTGCTTGTCATGCGCGCGTGCATGCTTGTTTGCTTGCTTGTTGCTTGCTTGTTGCTTGTTTGTTGCTTGCTTGCTTGCTTGCTTGCTTGCTTGCTTGCTTGCTTGCTTGTTTGTTTGTTTGTTTGTGTGTTTGTTTGTTTGCTTGGCATGGTGTTTGGTGTCCATTTTAAGGGTTTCTCGCCACACTGGTAGGTGACCATCATCAGTCTAGGTTTAATAGTTGAAAGTCTTCAGTTGTTGGCACACCCAACAAGACTCTCATGTTCTTTGTCACGAAAGGGTCCATATCCATTTCATACCGACATGAATTCCCCTAGTTGGGGCTCGTCTTCGTTTAAAGAGGATGTTTTGCTTCACACAATGTGGCTCTCAGCTGGGGGGCCAACAGTGCCTTGGCCAACATGGGTTTGCTTTTTGCAACCGAGCCCCTTTTGCTTGGCTTTTCAAGGGAGACCAAAAGGAAGCAGCAGAGATTCTGTGAGCAGCAGAGCGACAAAAACGACAAGAATGCTTCACAGCTGCGTACAAATCTGGCACATGCACATTGAGGAGAAGACGGTGTACCAGGAGTCTCCGTGACTCTTAACCCAATGTCCAGGTAGTGTTTGAATTGCGGTGGCTAAATCTTCTCCAAAGACACCGCGCTGCTGGGATTTTTGAAGTGTTGTCGGATGAGCACGGCAAGTTCCAATCAGATTCCGAGGTCTCCTCCGACCAAGACGGCGACGGAAAGCTGTCCTTCGAGGAATTCAAGGCCTCGGTTTGCTCCACGGAACCTAGCATGGTCTCTTTGAAAATGAGACTGCAAACGATTTGGGCTCCATGTTGAGGTGTAGGGTTCTGGGTGGGCCCCGGCATGACGATTCAAGCCCCTGAAAGGGTTTTTCTAAAGCCGTGTGGACATTGAATCGAGGGTCAGGGTCCTGAAATGGGACTTGGTTGAAGCCCCGAAGGGAAACGGTGGGGCAGCTTCAGCTAAGAATTGCCGACCGGAATAGAAACCGTGAATGGTTTGAGGGAATTTCGAGCGGCACATGTCAACTCCCCGTTGCCATTTGCCACGTGGGGATGACATTGCGGGCAGGGACGGCCCTTGAGGCAATTTTTGCGTCCAAGAAGGTTCCCGGTTTTGATGCTTGCCCCTAGCGGAAAGTGAGCCAAGGCATGCTTAGGCAATCCAGGGTCCCAACTGGTTCCGGAAAGAAATTGCCGGGGTCGCGTAGGCGGCTGTGCACAGCATCGGCGGGGAGCTCGGATTTGTTTTTCATGAGTCCATGGGGGTCAACACTATGCAATCTTTTCTTGTGGAGAAGACAACAAAGGACAACATCATTTGCACGGATTTTGGGATTATTTGTTTACTGCCGCTCCATCCTTAGTAAAAACCTCAGGATGAGCGTAGGACAAGGCTTCAATGAAGCCTTGCTGAATGGAGAGGTTAAGGCTTTGGACCCGAACAAAGACTCACTCAGCTCCCTGAGACTTTGCTTTCCATGCAGCCACCAGCTGGCGTGCTCCCAGCGGCTTCTGCGAAGCCCATCCACAGAGAGCAACTGCTGCTGCAATGTGTGCTTGGTGTGATAGTTTGCTTTTTTTCTTCTTTTTTTCTGTGTCGAGAGAGTCGAGAGGCCCCTTTCGGAACGGTTTCATTGCCATGTGGAGGGCCGCCAAGATGGGGTGCTGCTGCTCTTGGATCCCCTTTGAAGGTGGCGTTCGATGACATCGAAACCGGTCCTACAAGGGCGACCCACATTCGACCATCGGACGTGCTGGAGCCAGTCTTGAGTGCTTTCTTAGGGACTGCACGAAACGGTGGAGGTTACTCTCCCATGAAAATGGAACCTGACTGGGGGTCCCTTTAATGTTGACCCAGGATAAATAAACCAGTCCCATTATTAGGGGGGGTGTTCTCTCCAAAAGTGGTCTGATTCCCCACGAAAAGGAATCGGACACCCCCAATCCAAATCAACCAGGGGTTTATGAATCTGGGGGTAACGTTACTCCAAAAGCGCAGGGCGAGTCGCCGAACCATGGATTTGCTGCAAGCCCGTAGTACCGGCTTGTTGAGAACATCTATCGTGAAGGAGAGGTGAGGGAGGGTCATGCGCCTGATTTCCGAACCGAGGCGTTGCTGAGCAGCTCTCTATTGATCTGAGCTCCTACGCATGACGTGCAACATGACAGGGGCCTGGGTGTTTCCGGATAGACACGCAACATGGTTTCAAAGGGAAGGACAAGTACACCCGTTATTTGGACGAGACCTAGAGGAAACACCCAGGGTCCAATCCTTCCATACCAGTTTCTCCTGGGTGATTTTATGAAGATGTGTCAGGAAATGGGCCAACTTCAAAGCAGGGGGTTTCAACCAATTGGATGCAGACCACTGGCCTCTTGATGTCAGCCAAGCAAGGGGGTGTCTTAAGCTGGGGCGATGGGATTTGCCACTTCGCCACGGAAAGAGTTGAGAGCCTTTGGAAGAACCATCGGCTGGTCGGCACGTGGCCCATGGGAAAGAGGGAGTGGCCTGCGGCCGCCCGGGATTGCCTTGGCCCTTTGTGAGACCTCCTCGGAGAAACTGCCGCGTTGAGAGATTCCGGTTGGGGAAGAGTCCATAATTCCCTAAGAAAAAAGCAAGATTGCAAGCTAGCTGGATGTCTCCAACTCGGCTGCATGTCGCTCCAATCCTCATGTCGGGTTCCAGTTTTGACGCAGGCGCAAACCGCACGTGTCATTTCTTGGGTTTGCAACACCCTGCCAGTCTATATAGCTTGTTTCATGTATTTTCTTGCAATTTCAAAGGAGTTCTCTCTCCCTGTCTGTCTGTCTGTCTGTCTGTCTGTCTGTCTGTCTGTCTGTCTGTCTGTCTGTCTCTCTCTCTCTCTCTCTCTCTCGCTCTCTGTCTCTATCTCTGTCTCTGACTCTGTCTCTGACTCTGACTCTGACGCTGACTCTGACTCTGACTGTGTCTTTGCCAGTTTCTCATTATCGGTCTCTGTTTGCGTGTCCGTCTCCCTGTTTGCCTCTCACTCTGTCAGTGTCTCCGCCTCTGTGTCCTTCCGTGTGTCTCCGTGTCTCTCTGTGTCTCTTTGTGTCTCCCCGCGTCTCTTTCTCTTTCTGCCCCCCTCTCTCGCTCTCTCTCAATGTCTCTCTGAGTCTTTGGGTCTCTGTCGCTGTCCTCTCGCTCTCCCTCCGTCCAAATTCCTTTCAGGGCGAAGAAAAAGGCCGCGGAGGTTTGGGAGAGGGCCAGGGCGAATGCAAACGGATCAGCCTGAGGGACCGGATCGAGCCATCCTTGCGCGAGCGATTCCGATTCGGGGGCTCATTTGGGGAGGGGAGAGGGAGGGAACCGAGCGGGAAGATGCTGGGAGGTTCGCTTATTTCGGGTTTTGGGAGTTATGAGAGTTGCGGGGAGTTTGCGACTGGTTGGATGGGCTCGTCTGAGGCCCTTCGGAGTTTTCACCGCAAAAAACGACGATGTGGCTCACACGGCTCCCGTCCCGTTTTCGCAGGATTTGGGAGCGACAAACACGAAGGCAAGGTGCCAGGAGATGGGAGTCTTGCGAGACCATAGAGACAGCCAGAGCCTGTGCTCCCAGGGGGATTTGCTTCGGTGTACAGTACTCAATCGGCTGGTCACTGGGGGTGCTTGGATACCACTTTAAAGCTAGGAGACTTCATAAACAGTTTAAGCTTGGTTACCCGCCCTTGGAGAAGCTGATCTTCAACCCTTTCGACACCATCACCTTAGGCTTAGCATAAAGCAATCAGCGAACACACCTGCACCTCGAGTTGAGCGCTGCTGCATCGTGCCTGGCGCGTTCGTCTGCAGAGCGCCATTCGGGCCTGCGCGTTCCTTGGTGGAACGAGAGCTGCGGGCCCGCTCGATAGGATGCTCCGCGTGCCGAGGTCAGGCTGACCCCTGCGATGAAGACTACTCACCCGAGAGGTAGATGGTTCTTTTCAGGTCACTAGAATTGTGGACATTTGCAAGGTAGTGGATGGTCAACTGGTTTTTGTCGTGACTCGAAGCACTTGGCTGGGGTCTTAGGAATGGGGCACTGCGTCGCTGACTGCAAGGCTTATCCCGTCTTGGGTCTCGACAGAGATGCCATTTCGTCAACGCTTCAAGGCTAAGACAAGGCTAAGCCCGAACGGAGACGAGGTTAAGTCGCATCTCACCTCCAATGATCATTCTGCCAAATTCCATTTGGCTGCGGGTCAAAACCAATGGGATCCAAATTTGGGGTAGCTGAATTCACCACCCATTTTAGAACCTATGGTGGGGATTTGGGATGTTCGCTGTTTGACCCATGGCCATTTGAACGCCTCGGTGGGATACAGCTTCACCCCCAGTCGCTTCATTTCGCGGCCCTTCAGGACTCCTGGCACGCGGGTCGGCTCGCGCGCAACTCGCAGGTCGGGGGCGGACCCGAGGTCCGACGCTGTGCCGCCGGCCGGAGGAAAAATGCGAAAAAAAATGCCGGTTGGGGAGAGTCTGAGGAAGGAATGAGGACTATGAGGTTTTTCTGCCATTGAGAAAGGGTAGGAAGGTTGGCTTTTCTAAGTCTCAAGTGCGTTTGGAAGCGACTCCATGTTGGGCCCGTGCAAAGACAACTTTCTATCTGGGAAGGGGGGCAGCCTTTGTTTCTGCACCTCCAGGGCTCTCGGGCTTAGTTTAACTGGGGTAAACATCTGCAATCTGCTGAGCCTCTTCAGGTTTAAGCCTTTTTGCAAGAGCTATGGAGGGCAATGCTGTCCTTGACCAAGCCGCAAATCCAATCAGCCCAATCCGATTTCCAATCAGCCGAAAATCAGCCGCTCCGAAAATCAGCCGCTCCATTTCTTCTCGGCCCCGAGCACTTCAGATGCTCCACCGCGACATCAAGCCCTCCAATATCCTGCTGAACTCGGACTGCCAGGTCAAGGCGCGAGACTCGGTCGACTTGGACCCTGGGAGCCTCTCAAAATGTTGGACCCCTTGGGGTGGGTTTTTTTAGGGGAAACCAGAAGGACACCAACCATTGCAGGGGGCCGCTAGTTTGGGATAGGGGGCTATGTGAGAACCCCCAATGTCCTTTGTGGCTTTCAACGTCGCCTTTTGGGCCCTAAAACAGGAGACTTCATGGTTGAAACCCGCCCTGAACCTACCCCACACCTACCCCACACCCTCACACCCTCAGCGTGCCTTTAACCCGAAAGTTCAAACAGAAGGGATTGCAGTGGAATTTGCAACCCTGACATTTTGGGGTGCAATCAACATCAACTCCGCGGCTTTTTGGTCAATGTGGGCTGCCGCGATGTTCTTCAATTCTTTGCTGTTTCGCATGTCGCGGGATCACCAAGCACATCAAGATTGATAGTCACTTTGTTGATTTCCAGGGCCCCACTTCAGAGGAAATCCCATCCCTGCTTTGACGATCAGTTTCTCGGCCCAATTGGTTCGTTGGCCTGCTTTTGCTGAGGGTGCAACAAGAGACCCATAGGTTTCATCGCGCATGACGCTGGTTTCTTTTGTCCTTGCGCAAGGCGAACCAAACAAACAGGAACACACACACACACACAAGCACACACACACACACAAAAGCACACAAACACACACACACAAACACAAACACACACACACACACAAACAAACAAAAAAAGACACAACCACAACCACAGACACAGACACAGACACACACACACACAAACACAAACACGAACACGCACACACACACACACACATATACACAAACACATGCAAAACACACCCACACACACACACAAACACTCAGAAGCAGAAACAGAAACAACAACAGATACACAAACAGAAACGCAAACAGAAACACACACGCACACACAGAAAGCACAAGCAAAGGCACAGGAACAGGCACAGGCACAGGCACAGGCACAGGCACACACACACACAGAAGCACAAGCACAAGCACAAGCAAACACACAAGCACACACACACAAGCACACACACACACACACAAGCGCACACACTCACACACACACCCGCACCCGCACCCGCACCTGCACCCGCACCCGCACACGCAACCGCACCCGCACCCGCACTCGCACCCGCACCCGCACCCGCACCCGCACCCGCACCCGCACCCGCACCCGCACCCGCACCCGCACGCCCACGCCCACGCACACGCGCACACGCACGCGCACGCCCACGCAC